TATTAGTAATAATAAAAATCATGGTGTTGATGGTGCTTCTGTGGTACTTCATTTTTTTGAGCGCTTTTGTGGTAAATGTTGTTGAACAGATGTATCTACATTTAAGACCTGATGATTCTGACATAACGAAGCTGAACAACAACTACGCGAGTGTTTGGACGAAAATCGGCAGCAGCTGGATATGCATCGCGCTATATCTATGGTCACTGGTAGCGCCGATTGTCTTAATAAACCGCGATTTCAGCTGAGCACGCCGGCCGTCGCTCAGACTGGCTGCCGCTTTCGTCTCAAGTATATTTAGCCTTTGCTATTTGAATTTCTGCGAATCATGTGGCTGCCACATATCCTGCGCTAATCATGCTGTATTCATAATATATAACCCTCATTTTATGCATACTTAGTATGTCTTCTTTATGCTTTTCGCTATTGTTGTCTTCGCTCCTAAGAATAATGTTGTTTGCAGTAAACTTTCTGCTCATGTCTCGTTATATTTGTTTCGGTCGATTCCTTTGATATGCTGATGAACTAACGAAGGAAATCTCACGCAATTTTAGAAAACGACTTGCCTGAAATGACAGATAACATCGATTCGATGGCGATGTACATCGGGCCGATCAATCCGGCTGTGTATCCCCATTTGACCCTGACGTTGCTGGGTATCGGCATGTTTTTCATGGCTTGGTTTTTCGTCTACGAGGTGACGTCGACCAAATATACGAGACAGGCTTTGAAGGAAATGATGATCGCGGTGGTTTCATCGGCTTTCATTGGTTTTGGCGTTTTGTTTCTGTTGCTCTGGGTCGGGATCTATGTTTAAGGCATGTTGCTCATGAACCGATCTTTCCGGTATGGTTGCTATGGTCAGTGATTGTTACAAATAATGGTATTGCTATAATTAACAATAAAACCGTTTGTTACCGAATCTGTGTAAATGCTTTTTGTTACGCAAAGTTTAGGTTTTTTCCTAACAAGGGCCGGGACATGAAGCAAAGATTCAGTTAATGCCCACCCTGCAAAAGCGTACACTGCGCATTTTTATATAGGCGACTAGGTTTTTAATTCTGAAATAAAAACTACATGCAATTCTTTCATGCGACTTTTTATAAGGAAGTTTATTCTGAATTTGACGTTTGCACGTTATGTTGTGCAGGAACGTTCAGAAACTTATGATCCACATGGGCTGAACTGAATCAGCGCATGTTAGGTTACCAGCAAAGTGTGTCACTTGTTCCGGAAACCGAAACCTCGGAATAAATGGAGTGTTTTGTCTCACGCCCAAAACCATGTTCATTGAAAAGTTGAGGACTTGTTACATTAACGCTTCACGATTGGCTACCATTATAACTATGCGAGCTCGTACATTTGTTTCACAATATGTTTAGCCAGTATAAGTGAAGACTGATTAATTGCTTGTTCTTCTCTCCTCAGGGGTAATGGTATTCGTCAGACTGTGTGAGTTACCCAAGTAGGATGGGTTTGCCAGGATTTTTTGGTTTGCCGCTCTTCAGACTGCAAGATGTTCCGCAAAACTTTCTTCTAGCCATCATGTGGTCTACTTGATATAAATTTTGTCATGATCGTTGCGATTGATCTTATAAAACACGTTCGACCTTTTTGATTTTTCCCGCTGTTGACGTCTCCGCTAGATTTACGATCCCAATGAACCGCACGCCTTCTAGTGGATTCAAAATGCTGCCTATGCAAACGGTTCAAGTTGATCTGAACACAAAGTTTAAGCGTAATTTACGTCGTGCACGAAATCAAAGTAGGAGATGCGCGTTCTTCTGGGTAACATTTTACTATCGGTATTTGAAATGCATGCTAAAGTACTTTACCTCGGAACTATATTTACCAGTGATGGAAAGTTGGAGGAAGAGATCGACCGGCGAATTGGTGTAGCCAGTGTCGTTCTACGTGATCTAACCCGACCCGTTGTGACTAAAGCAGAGCTCAGTCTGAAAAATAAGCTCTCAATATTCAAGTCGATCTTTATCCCCATACTTACCTACGGTCATGAATCGTG